ATGGGTGTGTTGTATGACATATGAATTACATCAATTGTAATATCTTTTATAAAGATGCTCTTTAATAAAAAGTAGGAAAAAACTCAGAAGCCTAAGCTGAATGATCCAATTTCGGTCACACGTGGTGGACTTTGAGGACATATGTTTCGGTCTGTAGCATTATTAACTATATTCTAGGGAATTATCTAAAACCCCATGGACTGTGTTCAGCAATAACTTCTGACGCTTTCTTGCTTGTGTCATGGGGTGGTGGGGGGAACATGGTCTGAAACACTGGGGAGGTGGGGGATGAGGCAATCTTTTATCCAAAAACAAAAGCTACGATAGAAGAAAAAGCTGGGCTACACAAAAGGCTGTAGGAAGCCCAGCTCCAGATGCAAACCTGTGCACCAGACTCTCAAGAACCCAATATCCCTTTCCTTTGGCTCAAAACACATTTTCCAACAAAGTTAAAATATCGCTGAGGCCAGTGTTACCTTCAAAAACCACTGACTCTCACAGATGTCATTAATAGGGAGATGGCCTATAATTAACAGGAGGGTAATTCATCTGCAAGGAAAGATTTTTTAAATGAGAACTTATTTGTGCAGATGATAATAAATGACCCTTCAATATCAATAAATCTTAAAGACTTTTATGCCTATTAATTAGTCCTACTCCTCTCCAGGAGAAGGTGGTTATTTTCCCCCCATCTCCAGTTTATCTACGTGTTTAACTCCAAAAGCTAAGCAGGAATGGAGAGCCTGCCTCAGGATTACACAAGGGCCTCCCTTTGTCATACAAATAGCCATGCTCTGGGTCCTGAGGATTTCATCTCTAAATAGACACCCAACTTCTCAACAAAAGGAAAAAGGAAGTCTAAGAGTTCCGTGATAATTATCCTAATGATTTAGTCAAAATATGCAAGGAGACTTCCTAAAAATTCTATTAGCTCAAAATAGTACCTGTCACACCCACCAGGCACATCTGCATCTCATGGGAAATAAACAGTAAGGGCTTTAATAGGGTCAAGACCTGAAAGGAATGGGCAATACATGGAACTTCTTCCATCTCATTCTGTCAACTGTAAAAACAGAGGATACTTTTTGTATGCATGTTTTAAAAAATTTTAAGAATAAGCATCTGTTAATCTCTCCAAATAGATTATAAGCTCCTTCAGTGTTGGAACCTTTAGGTACGCAAGAAGCACTAGAAAATAATAAATATTTGACTGGCTAAGCATCAGAAGGTTCTCAGTTCAAAGTTGGATTCCATTAAAGTAGGTTGTTAGGAAGTTTGGTTTTTTTACTTTAGCTTTTGCGGAAAACTATTTCTCTTATTGTGGAGCAGGCAATCACCAGTCCTGTTACAAAAGGTGGTATAAACATAGGGGTTGTGAACAAGGGCTTTGGAGCCAGGAAGTTGTGGAATCAATGGGCAAGTTATTCATCTTTCTCTGACCCTCAGTTTCTCTGTTTGAAAACTCATGATAATATTCCCTGCCTCACAGAGTTGTAGAAATTAAGCAAGATAACACATATAAAATCTTAACATAGAGCCTAGCATACAATAAGACCTCAATTAATTGTAGCTTAAAAAATCTTGCCTTTGAAAACACACGGCCACATTCCAACATGAATGCAAAAACACACTGAAAAACAATGAACAAAAACAGTGGAAATCCTCATGCAAATTACAAATGTTAACTAAGTGACCAAACATTCACAGTTTCCCTCCACATTTTCCATGGAGGAAGACTATGAAGCACAAGGTTCTGAGGCCTTTAACACATTCATGAATAGAGCAAAGTTAAAACATAATCTCTAAAGCTAACCCTTAGATCAGAGTCACAGAATCTTAAAAATGTTAATGCCAGGGCGGGGGGAAAAAACACTTGGAGATCAGTCCAAATCTTTCCTTTTACAGATGAAGAAATGTAAGACCAAGAGGTTAAGTGATTTGCCCAAAATTGCCAAGTATGTTCCATGATTTCTTCAAATATGTGTTATTTCTAGCCTCTCTATCCTCCCCTTTTTTCCTCTAACCAATAGAGGAAAGTCTCCAATGCCTTGTCAATGACAGTAGCAATTTCAACTGCAGAGAAAGAGCCTGTGTACCCATGCTCCAGTAAGATTGAAAGTTCCTTGAAAATAAAGGCTGTGTTAGTGTCTCAGTGCCTACAAAAGAGCCTTCCATGTGCTCACACATCCCCACTGATGGACTGACTGGGTGGCACACAGTTCTCTCTCCTTCCTGTAGGAACTTACTAAGCATTGAATGTATGCATACATAGCAGACCCTACTGTGGAGAATATCATCTTTCTCTCCACTGCAGAGAACTGCCCATCTAAACAAAAGAAAGAATTTCTAGGGAGCCCTGGAAGATGCCAACGTCTTGGGGGCCACAGCTTTGCCACTCTATGGCAATGGCTGTTGTCTTTACCCTCTACCCTTCCGACTGCCATTCTCCTTATTTGGGTCACCAAACCTTCTCTTGATTTTTGCTTTTAATGGGTAAGAAGAGTCATAACTGAATAGCACTCACAAGTCAAGATTCAAAAGCAAAAGAGATTTCAGGATTTACAAGCAGACTGAAGCAAGTCCTGACAGTGCCAGAAGACCCTGAAGAGCAGAGGATGCAAGCAGGAGGAAGAATAGCAGGATCCCAGAGGCAGAAAGCCTGCAGGATGCTGGAAGGAGTGCCAAATCTGAAACCCCTTTGGGGCTCCTTCAGCACACCACAGTTCTCTGAGCTATCCAGGCCTCAAGTCTTGAGTCTCCCCTGACTTCTCCACCTTCCCTGCCCTTCATCTAATCTAGCCCCAAGTTAAAGCTCTCATCATTTCTCATGTGTGCCATGAGACCCAAATGGTCTCCCTACTCAGACATTCCTCTTTCCAATTCATCCTCTGTACTGCAGTCTCTGGTGACTGACTCATCCCAGGCTACCCAGAACTCTCCCCATTTTAGCACTGAAAGTCTCATGTCCTGGGAAACCCATTAGTCCCAGACCAATTGAGACAGCTGGCCACCTTACTGCGGCCAGATTAAAATCTTCCCCCAGACAATGCTTTGATCATGTCATTTTCCTGACCAAAATGTACCCTGTTCCCCATTTCTCTTTAAACAAACCTTAAAGGGATGCCTGAGTGGCTCTGTTGTTTGAATGTCTGCCTTGAACTCAGGTCATGATCCCAGGGTCCTGGGATTGAACTTCATATCAGCAGGGTCCCTACTCAGCAAGGCAACTGCTTCTCCTTCTCCCTCCACCCTCCCCACTACTCATTCTCTTTCTCTCTCAAATAAATAAATAAATAAATAAAATCTTAAAAAAAAAAAAAAAACTAGCCCAAAGCAGTCCCCAGATCTGTCTCAGAGAATGTATAGGAACACTTTGGGGGATGCCTGGGTGGCTCAGTGGGTTAAGTCTCTGCCTTCGGCTCAGGTCATGATCTCAAGGTCCTGCGATCAAGCCCCGCATTGGGCTCTCTGCTCAGTGGGGAGCCTGCTTCCCCCTCTCTCTGCCTGTCTCTCTGCCTACTTGTGATCTCTCCCTCTCTCTGTCAAGTGAAAAAAAAAAAAGAACACTTTGGGTTGAGGTAAGAAAACAAAGATTCTGAGCCTGGCTTTTGTCATAATAGTGTGAGACCCTTGGCAAGTCACTCCATCTATCTGGACCTCGGTTTCCTCATCTGTAAAATTAAGAGGCTAAAAATAGATTTCCTTTGCAGCTCTAAAATTCTCTAATTCAATTCTTCTACATACCCTCCATTCCAGCCAGACTCACCAGCTTACTGCAATCCAAACACATCCTGTAAATTCTTGCCTTATACCTTTGGTCTTTCCCTTCTCTCCACCAGGATTTCTTTCCTTACTTTTCTGCTGACCTGAATTCCATGAGGAATGACACAAATCCTCCCTGCTGAGGGGAGCCTGGGCCTACCCCACAAAGACTCCACATGTACCGAGGTTGTCTGACTCTCAGCATTTCTCATGTCCTGCTCTTTCTGTTGAGAATCTTTTTCTACATGAAGCTTCTTTATTCCAACTGAACTAAAATCTCTGCACTTCTGTGATTGCCTTCAGAATGCTGAACACATAGTCAATAATAGCAAGCATCATCACTAACTCACATCTAGATGTGAGGCAAAAGTAGAAAGTAGAGGTAAATCTAGAATTTTTTGCACTTTACACAAGATTCCAAAATGCTTCCAAAAATCAGTAATTGACTTATTCCACAAAAAGTTACTGAGAAATTCTTGTGTTTAAGAGATTGCTGACCTGTCACAGGTGCAGAGGTGAGGAATAAGCAGTGGCTCCAATAGCAGCTCTACACACAGATGTCATAGCATCCACACTGTCCATCAACTTGTAACATTTTAGGAAGACCTTAAAAGGTGGAAGCTCCACCAACATCACACCCTTCCCTCCCCAAATTGGTCATGTATCTAATTCTCCCTCTAGTAGGTAGACCTGTTAAATGAAAAAAAAGAAGTTAAAATTAAAACAGTTCAATAGGTTAAAATATACATATCTACCTACATAAGCAAGATAGCCTAAAATAAATCTCTTCCAGGAACTATATCCTGGCTATTTACCTAGAATCACTAGTCCCTACTCTGACAGGTATTTATAAAGTGAGCATATCAATATCCTTCTTTGGTATGATTTAACAGTTGTCCTCCATTAGTCTTGGTAAGTGGCACATATTAAGGATGAATGAAACTTACACCTGTCTGTTGGGACCCCTGCAGCATGCACACATATACACACACTCCCCTAATTAAATGGGGATGGGACTTGAGCATCTATCTAATGACAAACAGGTTCATGAGTAAGTGGGGGAAATAAATAAACCAAACGGTCTGCAGAGGGAGAGGTCAAGCTGGGCTGAGCTGGGCTGGACCCAGAGTGATTCAGACTCCACCACAGAATGGGTGTCTCCTGGGATAGCCTAGCAGGACAATTAAAACCCCTATAAATAAGATGGGTTGTCAAGTCTCCAGTATCCTCTCTGGCTTCTGAATCTTCTACCCTTTCCTCCTTAAGCAGGTAAGGCATTCATGGGAAGGGGGAGTGGAGAGGGGAGTGGGTTATGGCAGTATATACAAGGCTCTTGGTATCAGCTATAATGTGTTGGGCAGGGGAGGTCTGAGACTGCTCCCTGTGCATGACATGCCTGGGTAGAACCCTGCTTTCTTTTTGGCTCTATCTGAGAATATGATGATAGCTGGGGTGGCCCACTTCCAAGACTTTAAAATATACATGCCTTTGTTTCAGCATGTCCTGGGAATCCCAAAACTGAGGGCTAGGACTGTTGGTAGATAGCTTAGTCTCCCATAGTGTAGTATTGACCTTTCATGCAAGTAAGGCAAGACCGAAAAGTTTAAAGCTCATTGGGACGCAGGCCCTAAACCACAGGGCCACAGTAACACTAATGTCTCATTACAGGGAAATGCCCTAAGGAACTTATCATGTCCCATACAATTCATTGTGCCATGCATCCTTATAGGCATCACTGTATGCTTTTGGAAGTCCAGTGTGTTTTGCAGTTAGGGCTTCTTGGAGGCTTATAAACCCAGTAACCAGAATTTTTACAGCACAGGAAGAAAAATCATTGAGATCCAGATCCCAAAAGACCTTAGTTTTCCAACATGGCCAGTGTGAATCTAGCTGATTATATACACTTCCTCTCGTCTGTGCAGTTAATTTGGCTTGCTATTTTTTTTTTAAAGATTTTATTCATTTGACAGACAGAGATCACAAGTAGGCAGAGAGGCAGGCAGAGAGAGAGAGAGGAAGAAGCAGGCTCCCCGCTAAGCAGAGAGCCCGATGTGGGGCTCGATCCCAGGATCCTGGGATCATAACCTGAGCCGAAGGCAGAGGCTTTAACCCACTGAGCCACCCAGGTGCCCCTGGCTTGCTATTTTTATCAGTAATAGTTTTTATATTAATTGGTTCTACTTTATAAGCATGCCCCAAATGACCATCCATGCCAGAAGTACATGCTGGAATTTGACATCCCAGAAAGTTTGCTTGGCCCATGGCAAGCCTCTAGCCTTCTTCCCCACTTGAGCAAGGGCTGTTTGAGGACTAAGGACTATTCAGTGGGGTCTATTTAGTTGGTGGAAAATTATGTCTTACTATACTGACTTCTATGGGCCTCCTGACCTTCCTTCCTTTTTGTTCTAATAAAAGAGTTTCAATCAAGCAAGTTCCACCTGGAGTAGGGGATGGGGCATGTAAACCACCTGCCATATGTTCTTTGTTTCTTAGGAAGTTGTCACTTTTCCTAGTTAGAGACACATAGTTTGTGTCCATCTCCCACTGTAGTAAATGATATTTGGACCCTGAATGTGGGTCAAAGGGAGTGAGGGGTATGGCTAAGAAGGGGCTCTACCACTTCTTAAACTTCTCTCCCTGACCAAAGGCCAGTGACCAAAAAGAGCCACTTGCCCTCTGGAAATGCTATCTCCTGGTCTTCATCCTAAACACAGGAAAAATCTTCTTTCTTCTTTTAGGTTTACCAATTTTTGTTAAAATGGCTCAGCTCCTGAACAGCATACTCACTGTGATCAAGGTGTTCCAGAAATATGCCAAAGAGAATGGGAAATGTACCTTGCTTTGCAAGAAGGAGTTGAAGCAGCTGCTCTTGGCTGAGTTTGGAGATATCCTCTGGGTAAGATGCATAGACTCTGGCCCCATGAAGTCAAGTGTGAATGACTCTGACACCTGAATCCAGGGCTTGATGTTTTTCATTTGATCTGGTCATGCTCCATCCACCCTATAGGTAAAGATTTTCCGGAAGCTCCTCAGTATTTCTCTCCCAGGAGACACACATACTCACAGACATGCACACACACACACACAAACACACACACACACACACACACACACACCCCTTCTTATAGCTGGGCATGACAGAAGGGAGCACAACTTCAAACCAGAAATAATTTCTCAGAAGAAATTCTAGATTTGTATCTTGATTTCTGTCCACACATTTTCTCATTCACTCATTCATTCATTCAATAAAGAGTGATTGAACACATATTCCATTCCAGCACCATCCCAGCACTGGGAATGCAAACATGAATAAAACCAGCTTCTCCTTCCTCTAGGATCTCACAGTGTAGTTGGAAAGTAGGTTAAAAAAATAATTACAACATAACATGTGATGGGATAGAATAATCATGCCCACATTGGTCCAGCAAGAGATGCAGTTCTGAGGACAATCTGATCAAAGACTAGAACCAAGCCCAAGCCATTTCAGATTAATGGTTTCCAACCAAGGAAGGCTCATTCAAGAATGAAGAGGCTGGGGCATAGACACTGGCACACACTGTATCCACAGGAGAACAGCTGATTTTGCTCTTTGTTTTATCTTCTCACAGAGACCAAATGATCCAGACACAGTGGAAACCATCCTGAGCCTCTTGGATAAAGACAGAAATGGACATGTTGATTTTCATGAATATCTCTTGTTGGTGTTCCAATTGGCTCAAGCTTGCTATCATAAACTGGATAGTAAGTCATGTGGAGATAGAATCTCCCAGCAAAAAGTGGAGCAGGAGGGAACACAAGACCATAGGTTTCCAGAAAATACAGGCAGGCAACCCAGGCAGAGGCATGAGGGAGAAAAGCAGGTCTCCCACTGCCTTCAGTCTGAGAGACAAAACCAGGATGCCCACCAGGATCAGTCAGAGAGACAGGATAGGGATTCCCACTATGGTCAGTCTGAGAGACAGGATAGGAACTCCCACTATGGTCAGTCTGAGAGACAAGATAGGGACTCCCACTGTGGTCAGTCTGAGAGACAGGATAGGGACTCCTACTGTGGTCAGTCTGAGAGACAGGATAGGGACTCCCACCATGGTCAGACTGAGAGACAGGATAGGGACTCCCACTATGGTCAGACTGAGAGACAGGATAGGGACTCCCACTGTGGTCAGTCTGAGAGACAGGATAGGGACTCCCACTATGGTCAGACTGAGAGACAGGATAGGGACTCCTGCTATGCTCAGTCAGAGAGACAGGATAGGGACTCCTGCAATAGTCAGTCTGAGAGACAGGATAGGGACTCCAGCTATGGTCAAAGATGGAGACATAAATCTAGCAGTAGCCAGCCTAAAAGACAAGGATATATTTTTGCCTTAAGTCAGTATGACAAACAAGTTCACAATTCTCGTTATGGCCAGAAAAACCAACAGCAATCAGGCTCTTATCATGGACAGTCTCAGAGGTTGGATCAGGAATCAGGCTATGGTCAGAGAGATAGACAAGAATTGTACTTTCAGTATGGCCAGACAGACAGACAAGACCAGCGTTCTCACTATGGCCAGAGAGACAGACAAGGCCAGAGTTCTCACTATGGCCAGGCAGACAGACAAGGCCAGAGTTCCCACGATGGCCAGGCAGACAGACAAGGCCAGAGTTCCCACGATGGCCAGGCAGACAGACAAGGCCAGAGTTCTCACTATGGCCAGAGAGACAGACAAGGCCAGAGTTCTCACTATGGCCAGACAAACAGACAAGGCCAGAGTTCTCACTATGGCCAGGCAGACAGACAAGGCCAGAGTTCCGACGATGGTCAGTCAAACAGACAAGGCCAGAGTTCTCACTATGGCCAGGCAGACAGACAAGGCCAGAGTTCTCAGTGTAGCCAGACAGAAAGACAAGGCCAGATTTTCCAGTATGGCCAGAGGGACAGACAAGCCCCAGGTTCTCAGTGTAGCCAGACAGACAGACAAGGCCGGAATTTCCATTATAGCCAGGCAGACAGACAAGGCCAGAGTTCTCACTATGATCAGACAGATGGACAAGGCCAGAGTTCTCACTATGGCCAGACAGACAGACAAGACCAGAGTTCCCACTATGGTCAGACAGACAGACAAGGCCAGAATTCTCCCTATGGTCAGACAGAGAGACAAGGCCTAGGTTCTCAGTGCAGTCAGATAGATAGACAAGGTCAGAGCTCCCACTATGGTCAGACAGACAGACAAGGCCAGAGTTGCCATTATGGCCAGACAGAGAGACAAGACCTCAGCTCTCACTATGGTCAGGTGGACAGACAAGACCAAGGTTATCATTATAACCAGTCAGATAGACAAGGCCTGAGCTCTTGTTATGGCTGGACAGACAGACAAGGCCAGGGTTATCATTACGGTCAGACAGACAGACAAAGCCTGAGCTCTCACTATGGTCAGTCAGCGATTGGGGTAACAGGGCAAAATAGTTACCTCCAAGGCAGTGAGGGAACAACCAGAGACTCTTATGTTGAGCAATCAGGAAGGTCAGGGAGACTAAGTCGAAAGACTCAAGGACAGGAAGTAATTCAAAATCAAGGGCAGAGATTCCAGTCTAGGGAAGGCCAACAGAACAGCCATCGGGCATGGGAGCCTGAGGAGGATAGCCAACATGACCAACACAAACTCATAGCAGAAATCCAGCAAGAAAAATCACGCAGTTACAAAGGGGGTGACTGGCAGTCAGTTAGTGGCAAGCAGGACCACAGACAGTCCCAGGCCAGGCAAAGTCATAGAGAGGGGCAGAGCCACCAGGCAGAGGAAGAGCAGGGCCACCAAACCTGGGGCAGACATGGTTGTGAGAGTCAAGAAACTCCATGGGAGATGCAGGCCAGGCAAACCCATGAAGAAAAACAAAACCATCGGAGACAGGACAGGCAAACCCATCATGATGAGCAGACCCATAAGAGATGGGACAGGCAGACCCATGAAGATGAGCGGACCCATCAGCGACAAGACAGGCAAACCTATGAAGATGAGCAGACCTACCAGCGACAAAAGAGGCAAATCCATGAAGATGAACAGACCCGTCAGCGACGAGACAGGCAAACCCATGAAGAGAGTCAAAACTGTCAGCAACAATTGGATAGGCAAACCCTTGAGGAGGAAGAAAGATATCAAGGATCCCAGGATCAACAATCTTGTGAGAACCAGCAAGGCTGTGCTAATAGAGAAAAATTCCACATGAATGAGAATAGCCAGAGGCAAGGTTCCCAGGGAAGACACAGTAACCTGACCTTCCATCCCACCCAGACTGGTGGGAGGCCCCCAAGGAGAGAACAAGGTAGAAGTCACCCTACCAAAGCAGCTCCTACTCCCAATCCCCTCTATGACTATGTACAAGAGCAGAAAAGGAATCAGCACTAGGCTGTGCACACACCAGAGCTAAAGCAACTTGAAACCAAGGAAGAAATCCAAGTTTATCCTTACTTCTGTTTAAGATATTAAAAATGTTTGTCTTCCTTCCCTCTTCTATCTACTTGCAAGGATGCTTTTGAGAACTAGTATTCACTTTTAGGGCATTTCTATTCTAGGTTGTTCTAGTTGGGTTAAATCTGAGTGGTAAGTTGGGTGATACAATCAGATCCCAATTTTTATTACTTTGGGGATTTAAATCATTTCCTGGTTTTCCATCTGTGTAGGTAGGACATGGTTGGATCACTGAAAGGTAGAAACTTCTCCCAATAATTCAGAAACAGGAAAGGTATTCTGAAGATGCATATTACAGCCTGAGGACAGGACAGCTGAGTTTTGGTAGCCTTGGGCTCCTATGGACAAAACACCAAGAATTGCAAACCTCATAGCCTACACTAAAATGGAACATGATTAGAGGCTTCTAGGAAAGTCCTCTCTGAAGTCCACAATACCTTCCATGCCCAGGCTCCCACCCTTCACCAGAAGGACTATCCCTGAGCTGCTATCACTACAGCTGACTGGACAGGTTCCAGCTTCATATGTATCCAGTTTCTGATCATATAAAACACAGAGAAAGAATATGTCATCTGCTTGCAGATTCCAACAAGCGAAAACTGTCCATCCATAGCTCCTGAAAACCCCTTAAAGAAAATCTATGGAATTGTATTAAAATACCCAATAAATGATTGGTGAGCAATGATCTCAGTGACTCTTTTCCTTTTTCATGGTGGGGACATTCTATCCTATCTTCACCTGGGTGAAGTTTTCCAAAAAATAAGGCCTCATTTCTTGACTTCTAAGTTGCTTCTGTTCTTTGAGTTCCTGAGCACTGAAGAAAGAAAAGAAGGAGAAGAAGAAAGAGGAGAAGAAGGGGAAGAATGCAAGAGAAAGGAGAAGGAAGAGGAAGAAGAGGAATTAATATGAAACAAATAACAGAAGGTCAAAAGGAATTTATCTAAATACTTTCAGCTCCTTCCACCACAGAGGAGTCAACATTGACCCTTCCCCTCATTCACCTCCACATTCCATGGTCATTAAGTCTTGCCAACTTTACATCCTTCATATCTCTTGGATCTCTTCCCACTTCTCCATTTCTACTGCCTTGAATTTCCCTCCTCTTCAGTGGCTACCAGTGACTTTAAGATGAAGTTCACACTCCTTAGCATGACACCTAAGCCCTTCACCATCTGATCCAGATGACCCACCCAGTTTAGTCCCATAAAAGGGCCCTCCCAGGAGCACCAAATGCTCCAGCCATACCAAAGGCTTAGCCTTTTTTAAGTTTATCATGGTCTTTCATTAACTCATATCTTTAAATATACCGTTCCATAGCCTACAGTACTTCCCCTTGCTTCTGCCAGGTAAAAAATCTGGGCATCCTCTGTGTCTGTGTCCCAACTAAAATATCACATCTTCTGGGCAGCCTTCCTGGACACTCCAAGCACTCCTTCCTTTATATTCCCACTCATTTCTCTTATAACATTTGTCATACACACTATTGTGATTATCACCCTTACCAAGCTGGGAATAAGACTGTATCTTACTCAACTATGTACTCCTCAGTATTTAGTGCAGCCCCCGGTGTCCAGGGGCACTCATGATTATTTGCTGAATAAGTGGGCAGATGGAGAAAATTAGTCTGGCTTCAGGAAAAATTCAGCTAAACAAATACATAGTAATATTTACATAATAACAGACAAAAGAGGCTAAACTTGACCCTTATTCAGTCAAGGATGAAGTTGAATGAAACAATAGTCTTTTTTGATATTTTAAGCAATAGAACATTTAATGCCTAGAATTATAAGAGTTGAATTGTTAGAAATCAGGAAGTGAAGCCTGAACTATTGAGGTCAAGACATCTATAGAACTGTAACCCAGCAATCAGAAAGCTGGAATCCAGAAGCTGCTGGCATTGCTCCCAAATCTGCCTGTCAACAACCATATTCCATAACCCTGTTTACCAAAAGAAATAGCAAAAATCACAGTATCTTCCAAATATTATGTAAACACATCTAATTGGAAAAACATAATTCATATCCAGAACCCTAGCTACAAAGGAGTCTAGGAAATATAGAAAGAGATAAGAATGGATGTTAAGGGCCATTGGATTCACCGTAGGAAGGATATATAGACTCATAACAGCCCCTCCTTTCTTCAAGATTATAATCTAGTAAGAAATATGTATACAGCACACAACCATTAAATAAAGCAAGATGTCATAAGTACAAGAAAATTGCTGTCATTATAGCAATAACCACAATAGCCAAACTATGGAAAGAGCCAAGTTGACCACTGACGGATGAATGGATAAAGAAGATGCAGTATACATATACAATGGAATACTATTCAGCCATCAAAAAAATGAAATCTTGCCATTTGCAACGATATGGATAGAACTAGAGGGTATTACACTAAGTGAAATAAGTCAATCAAAGAAAGACAATTATGCTATGATTTCACTCATATGTAGAATTTAAGAAACAAATCAGAGGAGCATAGGTGAAGGGAGAAAAAAATAAAGTAAGATGAAATCAGAGAGGGAAATAAACCATAAGATATTCTTAATCATAGTAAACAAACAGGGTTGCTGGAAGGGAGGGGAGTTGAGGGATGGGGTAACTGGGTGATGGACATTAAGGAGGGCATGGAACATAGTAAGCACTGGGTGTTACATAAGACTGATGAATCACTGAACTCTACCCCTGAAACTAATAATATGCTATATGTTAACTAAATGAGCTTAAGTTTTTTTTTAAAAGAAGGAAAAAAGAAAATTAAAAAAAAAAAAAGAAAATCGCTGTCATAACACCAAGAAGGGAGTAAGTAACTGTGTGGAAGGACTGAGATAAGCTTACACAGAGGAAAGCATCAAAGCTAGGGTCATGATCCTGGCTGGGGGAGTGGGCATGAGAAGGGTCATGGCTTGTCCTGGGCCTTAAGCTCGATGGGGATGTCCCATATGTTCGCTGCTGTTTAAATGGCATGATTGTTCAGGAGTAAAGTGGGTCTTCTTCACAAATGTTCTCTGTAACTTAGACACTCCCCAGAGAGCTAAACTAGACGGTGGAAAATAAACCCAAAGCTGAGAGATCTCAAAATCTATAAGCTGCTAAGAGTTCTTGGGGGCTTTCAATGGGTCAGCTGGGCAGTGAAGCGTGGGAGGGATTTAGGCATTCTAGGCAGGGGGGACAGCATGAGTGCTGCATGGTAAAGGAAGTTCCAAGGGAATACTAAAGAAAGCTAGAAGGACAAATAAAGCCAGATCACGGAGGACTTCAAAACCCACCATGAAGAGTTTGGAATATTTTCTGTTAATAGTAGGATCCACAAAACTTTTCTGAGCAGAAAATGAGAGGAAAAGAGGAAACCAGCAAAAGAGATGTTTGAGATAAAGAGAAATGCTACTGTAAGGGTAACTCCCCATCACAGGTACAACATAAGCACAGACTAGGGGGCTATCCAGGCTCTAAGGACAAAAGACCAGAAAGGGGTCTACCCTAAAAGGGTGTAAAAGCATGGAGAAAAGATGTTCTACTGCACTGCACTGCTCCTCAGGGGGCAAAAAAGCAGCTCTCTGTATCTAAACCAGAGAGCAACCAACCAAATGTCCTCAACTGGAATAACCAAACAGCAGATCACCCCTTTAAGCACTGTCTCTACTCTCAAACTCTGAGACAATCATACACACCATGAATTTAATTCACAATAGGTCGTCCAAATCGACCCACACCAGAAAGATACCATTCCCTTTATAAAAGACACCTTCCCCCATCGGATTAACTCCTCAGCCACCTTCTCTTTTGAGAAGGTTATCTTGTCCAGTCCTATAGCTCCAAATACCACAACTATTTCTAAGACTCTCAAGTCTTCATCTCCAGCCCTACCTCTTTCCTAAATCCCAGACTCCTATATTCAATCATCTCCTGGCGCTTCCACTGGGACATCAAATAGCATCTCTGTCTTAGCATTCCCAAACAGGAGTCTTGACTTAACTTGTTTCTCCCTCAATTTTCCCCAGTTCAGTAAGTTGGTAGGACCTTCCACATTTCTCAAGGGAAAGCACAGGAGAGACATTTTTTATTGTAATCATTCTCTCCCCCAAATCAAATTCATCAGCAGTCCCTTTGTTTTTATCTCAAAATACAATGTAGCCCTGATCCCACCATTCTTGTCATCTCCCATGTCATCAACCCTCTCTCCACTGTCTTTCTCCTAGAACCCAGCAACAGCTTCCTGACAGAACTCCTTAATCCTCTGTGAAATGGAAGCCGCATCGGATCATTCCCCTGGGTAAAAGGCTAAGTGGTTTCTCACCACACAAAATAAAATCCAGCATTCTCCCAGAACCTTCCTAGTATGGGGCCCTGCCACACCCCCTCATGCACCACTCCACTCTGCACTCACTGTTTTCCAACCATGCTGGCCTTCCTCTGGTGATTCCAGCAGGACAAGCTGGTTCCCACCTCAAAACCTCTGAACCAGCTATTGCTTTGGCTTGGAAGAGTCCTCTCCCCAGCTTTGTGTGACTGGCTCCTTATTTCATTCAAGTCTCAGCTAAAGAGTCACCTCCCAGGAGAAGCTTTCTTGACATTTAGTCTACAAAAGTAGTCCCAGTCACTCCCAATCACATCCCTTTCTTTCTCTTGTTGTTCCCAACATTTTTCACATAGGTTATCTTGGTTTTATGTTACCTGTTTTTGTCTTTTTCTCCCTACTGGAACTTGATACCCATAAGGACACAGATTTTGTTTGTCTTGTTTACTACTGTACCCTCTGCATCAAAAAGAGTATGCATTCAAGGTGCAAGCCCAATGAGTGTGTCCACTGAACACTCCAAAAGGGCTTTGGTATCGGGTTTCAGTCTACATTTCCAGCGTGGTTTCCCACTATACCCCCACATGCCACCTAGATTCCAGCCTAACTGGACAACTGCCCAACCTCCACACCTCTGC